TACGTCGGCATTTGGAAGCAATAATTTGGTATCAAAGTGCGACAAATATTGCGCGAATGATGCGTTTATCTTATCAAGGTCAATATATGATGGCCAACAAAGGATTCCAGGACAATTCTTCTTATGGCATTTTTTCGTATCGCAATTCTTCGTCTGCAAATCTTCGTCAGGGCATTTATTCGTATCGCATTACTTTGTCTCGCATCAGTGTATATGAAAATCGGCTCGCATTTCTTCTTCAACGCAAATATATGCAAGAGTAAGCATTGATGGACAAATAAATGCACCGACGAAGATTTGTAGACGAAGAAATGCGGACGAAGAAATGTCATGCGAGGATTCGTTCGGGTACCATGACATTTATGTGATTTCAAAGTCAAGGTTCACAGCTGATCTGCAAAATCAAGCCAAGAATCCAAACTATCGAAAAACTATAAATATTTGTTTGTCTGTCACAGAGGTCTCAAGCAATATAAGGTTGACATATGTTGAATCAAAAATCTACTGCCACAACTCACATCTCCTGCCTTAGTTTATCATTGTTGTTTTAACTTGCTTTCAAGAGAAACAGAAGCCAGTATCTGATATCACTTCAGATGATTGTTTCAAGATCTGAGTTCAAATGGAATTAAAAGCAAGATCAAGATGAAACAGGGATTATTGCTGTTAAAGTAGTTTGGCCATGATACAACAGGCACATAAATCATTAGCCAAATCAAATACTGGTTGGTTTGTCAAGATGTTTGTTGTCTGTCGTCTGTCGAGCTGCTATGAACACTGAACGCTCTCACTCTTACTTTAAAGAGAGTAGTTTAAGTTGAATGGTAGTGAGCTGTAATTAGACAAAGCAGCTATTCAGTGCTCACATCAAGCCAGGCTAGGAAATGGCATCAACTGTGGTGGGAGGAAGCAGGTTCGGCAGGCCTATGTTGTAAACTTCTGTTGTGTCTTGTGTTTGATCAACTGATGTTTTCTGCTCTGTTTTGTGCAGTGATAGTAGCAGGTAACTGCATGCTTGTCAAATTATGTGAATAAACGAATTCATAACATTGCATTTTTCTCTCAATGCAAGGAACAAGTAAGATGTAGAAAATGTAATAGAGGGCTGCATTGCTGATTTCATGCACTTTATCAGAGCTTTATTTAGAATTGCTTTCCTGAAAGCTACACACAGGCCACAGCACTGAAATTCACAATGTCATAGCTTTTGGCAGAAAAAAAAGAAAAGACTTGCCTAGGTAAAATTGGCTGAAAGTATGGCAGAGCAGGTCTTGATGCGTATGCCCATCCGTGTGCTTGCCGAAGCCGAACTGACTGCAACACATTAACTCTGACCCACCATGGTGGCTGGCATATCCTGAACTTTCACCACTCTAAACAAGACAACTTTCAGCCCTCAGCATTGTATTAAAACACTGTACATGGCAGTTGACACTCAAAATTTGTTTCAGTGCCATCCACGGACAACATCAGTCGCCATTCACCAGGCCAGTAAAAACAGAATAGATAATAGCTTCAAACCCATGTAGTCAGAGTTACTAGGTCTGCACCTCAAAACAAAATCCAGGTGACATTCACCACGCCAGTAAAAAAACAGGTACCTAGGTACTTAGGTAACGTAACAGCTTCAAATCTGGTAACATGTTGGTCGGACGTAACACTACCATATGTACAGTCTGTCTTAAAAGTACCGCGCAAAGTGGCGGTGGATCCATCGAGCCTGACTGAGGAAGGGCCTGCTAAATTTGGGTCACCGAAGCAATGGACATCCTCGTCCATTCCCCAGCTCAATTGGTTCGGTGACTTTCAAATTAAAGCAGACCTTTCTCGGTCAGGCTTGATGGATCCACCGCCACTTTGCGCGGTACTTTTAAGACAGACTGTACATGGAATAATATGATACCAAACAATAGTGCAACCATTCTGGACAACAAAAGTGTATGATAAAATTAATTTAGAATACTTTGGCAGCATGATTTACGAGCACAGGCAGGTGTTACCTACCAGCCTTCTCAATGCTCGTAAAACCAACATTGTAGTTTTGATTTTACCTTACATGATAACACACTTGGCTGCAATGGCACATTTAATTTAACACTGTGAAAAGACCAGTTATAACCACTTCACAAGCACAATTGCACCTCATGCCGACATCCTTTTCCAAAGACAGTCAGCAGCGTCTTTCGTCAAAACTGGAAGATCAATCCCCTTTCAACTGTTAACATCAAAAATATTTCTTCATGGTGTGATCTCCTATGGAAACCTTGCGGGAAAAGAATTAATGTCAATTGTCAGCTCTTCAAATTTCTTTGGACTTAAACTTGCAGTACCATATCCAGTTTGCTTTGATATTTTGTTTTTCATTCCATGTTGAAGTTGAACACCAAGCTCCAGATATAGCAGGCAGCTTGATCATCTTCGGCCTTGGTATAATATCAGTCCAAGTTCCAGTGGTGGGTATCATCTAATATTCAAATTAAAATGAAAAGCAATAGGCTTTCTCAGCGCCGACGACGGATTTCACGATGATAAAAAAGGGAGCTCAAGGTCAGCAAAACTCGGGTTCAAGGAATGGCGGGCGTTGAAATGACTGCTGACGTCATCAACAAACCGCTAATGGTTAAGAGATAGGGACTAAGCTGGTCCCACCCTGCAAGTAAAGGGAAGAAATTTCTTGAACACCATAAAGCTGCGGGGGTTGCGACCAGGATAAATGGTGGTTTCTGAGCCTGGCCGCAAACTTGGCTATCTCAACTCAAAACTAATGTTAAGGTGGGATGGTCCCTTTAAAGGAAATAGTTCACTTTCACGAAATTATTTTTTTTTGCAATGGATTTGTGATTTTTTATGTTCAAAATGATCAGCAAAGAAAATAAAACCTTTTTACAACAAAAGATTATTTTCTATATTTTTGATATAGGAAGAACTTTTCAGTTTCTGTAAGGCACACGCGATCCAGTATGAAAAGAGCATGGGTCCCGAAAATTCTTCAGAAACTAGAGAAATTATCGCGGCCACCGGCATTTGGGCGATCTGCTCGTGCTTTTGTTACTGGAGCGCCTCACTGGAGCGAATTTCTCTAGAGTTCTCGTAGATAATTTCTCTAGTTTCTGAAGAATTTTCGGGACCCATGCTCGTTTCATACTGGATGCGAATATATGCAAGGCACACATCCTCAACGCAAGACACATTTTTCGGGACGAGAAATAGAATATCTTTGCCTAGGGTGATCGTTGGGCTGTAAAAGCTCCTGATTTATGCTCGTCTCAGCCCAAGCTACGGAACTGCTATTCCAGTTCAAAACCCATGTTAAAATGTGAACTATTTCCTTTAAGCAGATGTTAAAGAAATTCATTTTTTAGGTAATATAGAAAGTAGGTATAAAAATAGTGCCTTGCACCTGATGCCTCACCTGTCAGCAGAGCCCTCCATATCTGCTGTCCTAGTCATCTAAGCTGGAAAGAAGAACAAATACATGATCAATATGGGGCAATATCAATAGATGGCCCATACAGCAGTAGTGAATGGTAGGTAGGTAGGTACCTACCTACCATGTCAGCGCCAGCACCCGACACTGTTTCACACAAAATCCACATCACACCTGGCACCACAGTGAATCTGCACTGTAGATCTCCACCTGCAGGGTGGCCCTCGGTCCACAATGACAACATCTCCAGATTGCCACACTTAGCAAGCTGGCTTGGAGGGACTCAGAAACATTCAGTTCAGTTCAGCCGAGTCAGGGTCAATGCCAATGCAATCTGAATTCTAGCGTTCCGAGGAGGTTTCTGTCGTTTGACCTTTATGTTTTTTTTTTAATTTAGTCCGAACCTTTTGATGGGAAGGATTCACAAGGACAGAGCCACCGCTAAGCGAAGCTTGTTGCGATGACCCTGCCCTCTACCCTCCGATCGCGCAATTCCGATTCTATGGCAGAATTTAGAGTCCAAAGTTTAACGTGCGCACAAAGCCGCGCACGGCCGGTCCCCTCGCTGACTTCGCCTGGCTACGGCCTGCCACCAACCGCAACCATACCTGTCAGGAGGCCCATAAATGTCGAGCGCCCGTCGCGCTTCGAACCCGGACTGTCATAACCGGGAACGCGTGCTCTCACCACGCGGAGTCCAACGCTCTAACCAACTGAGCTACGGGACCGGCATGTTGATCTGGAAGGTCATGAACTTTGAGGTCACGAACCTCGGTGAAGGTAGTCCGTGAATCGGGGAATCGTTCTAGACCTTTACTTCGGAAATCGGTCGGTAACTTTAGCGTACACAGCGTTCCGAAGATTATCTCTAGATATCTGGGGAATTTCTCAACCGTGGCCATATCTGGCATCTTCGTGGGACGCCAGACTTACTAATACCTTCTGATTTCTGAACCACAATAATATTCCAATGTAGCTACAATCAGTGTATATAAATAGCTACAATGAGCCAAGACATATTAGCATTATTATGCACATCAGCAGTGACATTAACAGGGACTCACCTGTAATCCGCTTGAGAAGACAGAGTTGGATTACAGTCTTGAGATTTGAATGCTACCTATGAAATAAAACCCGAACACATCGAGCGATGGTTCAATTAATGCACGTTTAAGTGATTGTGACAGAGTAACTGCGAAATCCTTGAGCCGGTTCAATGTAACATTGATTAAATTATTATTATCATACCAATACTATGCAAAAAAAAAATATATTGATATGAAGCAAACTCAGGCTGGGCGTGTCGCTTTGCGATGCGGGCAACGTTGAATAAAAGGCATTTCAACTCTTGTTCATTTTTATTCGAATCAGTTCATGTAAGCAGCAGGTAAACCATATGCACAAATCACCTCAGGCGGATTAGAAACTATCAACAGTAAGCATAATGAAATGAACAAGTATGCCTGTGCTCTTTTTAGTGCGCCGTATTTGTAGTGAAATATTTCGTGTTCGAATTTTCTTCTGTGAGCTAGTGAACGTGATCTCCCATGGTGATTTGATGTTCGAAGAAAATATTGCTCGATTATTTTGCGATTCTACCGTAATATCAAGCAGGAAATTAGTCCATTCACTTTTTGGTACATACGTTGGCTAGTTTAAGTTATAATTTTGCAAAATTTCTACACAAAAAGCCTAAAAATTTCAGTTATTGTCGTCGGTAGCAGCTTACATTAGCTTTTTGAATACAGTCTACTTGCTGAAGGCTAGTGTCATTATTATTATTATTATTATTATTATTATTATTATTATTGTTGTTGTTGTTGTGGGTATATGTGGAGTGTGTATCTAGTATCTACCATATTTTGTTGTTTTGCCTCTAATGAGGGTCGTTTTTTGCCCACAGTTCATACTTCATTTGATGGTACCTAATACTCTTTATTATATGCCCTCCAGTGCTTTGGATTTTGCACTTTTAGTAAAGTAGATTTTCCTCTAACCTGGTGCCTTATTTTCTGTGGGGATCAGTTTTGTAATGCATGTTTCAGGGTCAACAGACAACCGCCAACAGGGAATATTTCAGCAATCCAACACCAACAACATTCTATTCTAAATCAAGCTCAGACATTTAACTGGACAGATTGACAAATGACAGGGTCGGAGTCGGAGCCCAAATGGCGGCGCAATGGCAATGTAAGAAGATCTTGTAGCAATCGAACATCTGACTGGGCAATTCAGGGTAATAATGGTCGGAATTTAGATGCCAAAGTGCAATCTGCCCATCAACTCTGGATTTGGCTTATCCCACTCACACTGACTTCAACTGGCTGTGCCTGTTCCCGCCAGCCACAGGCCATCCCCAGACCCCAACAGAAGTCAAATATCTACTTAGGGTTGGAGCAACTTGGACCTGGGTTCTCACCACACTCCACAGGGAGACCAACATTACCAACTGAGCTATAGGGCAGATTGATGCATTCTTTAAGTAGGTACCTAGGTACTTATACATACCTAGGTACTTAAATATTCCTCTGTATCACAGAGGTATTTAACTTTTTAAATTTCCTGTGTTAGTTATTGAGCCTTTGATTTATGATGGTGTATGATCTGTTTCAGATGGTATAATTCCATACCTGATGGCTGAGGTGGATCTACCTTCAAAGTGAGTGTTGAACTGGACAATATTTTTAGTTTTATACTAGTGGTGACTGGTGTTGTCAGCTTCAGTCATACTCATGTCTGGTGTAATTAAGTTGCCCACTGCTTCAATGACTGAGTCAGCCACTGGCAATGCACCACCAGCCACTGTGCAACCAAAGACAGACACTGCGTTGCTGGCTGGTCCATCCAGACAGTCTGCATCACCAACATCAGTCTCTACATCATCTGAGTCATCCATACAGCACGCCCAAACAGTCGCCACTCCACCATCTGTGTCATCTGAGAAGGGGGCGCGGTCATTCCTGACGTCTGCTGCCGAACTGGTGCCACCACTGGCAGCCGGCTCGTCTGCACCAGCGCCGCCCCCACTGCAGAACGAGTCCGTCCGTCTGTGGGTGGGCAACATCCAGCCGCACGTGGCCGAGTGCCAGCTGCTGCGGCTGGCGCAGCCGGTCGGCACCATCACCAAGTTCGACTTCATGCTGAACGGCGCCGGGCCGCAGGCGGGTCGGCCGCGCGGCTACGCGTTCATCTCGTACAGCACGCACCGCGAGGCGGACCTGGGCCGGCGGCGGCTGAACGGCGCCCGGCTGGGCGGCGTGCCGCTCGTCTGCCGCTGGGCCAACGAGCAGGTGCTGCCCGGAGACGCGCCCATGAAGAGGGAGGAGCCGGCCGCGGTGGCGGCGCCCGCACCGGCCCCGGCGCGGACCAAGCTGAGCGCGGAGGCGCAGATCCGGGCCATCGAGGCCAAACTACAGCACATGAGTGGTGACACACGCGAGGATCGGTTTGCTGTGAAGGCGGACTCTGAGAGGACTGATGTTCGCCGGCTGCCTCGGGTGCGGGGCCCGCTCAGCAGAGTGAACGCTCCATCCAAACAGGCCGCCGCGCAGCAGAACAAACCATACGCGCGGAGACGGTTTTAGTGCTGGGAGCGAACTGCATTGGTCCCCGGGGACCCGAGGGAGTGCTGCAAAAAGTTCAGATACCTGAGTCTAAGTCATTGCATCGAGTGTTTGTGTCCATAATCATCGTGTCCTATAGAATGTGGCCTAAAACTCAAACTTATGAGGTATGATATCTCACCAAGTTTTCCATAACTCAATACATGTCGTCTTTCGTTTGCTGTTGCTGTCAACTAGTACTCTTCTTGTGGTCTCATTACATTTTTTTAGACACGCCTGGACATCAACACATGTCAAGCTCACAATTTTGATGTGTTGCTGAGTACAGTAAAACATAAGTCGTTTCGCGATAAAATTCACAGCATCGGCCCAGGTGGCGCTGCAAACATCTACACGCAAGGGGGCGCCGTTGCGGTACATTCATATTCCACCGGCAATGGAATAGTACCCGAGACATGGTTCGATTCGGGAGGGATCTCATCGAACTCTGGTTGTGTGAGTTTTGCTCCTATATGTCATCGTGCCATGCTTGGTCGAAGGAAGCAATGGCTGGACAGTGGACATAACTAGACAATCTCCATCAAGCGGTGCTGAGGGGAAACTATAGTGTGAAAGCTATAAACTATGTAACATTGTTGAGCCAGAGCGGTTTTGTAAGACCTTTTTGCATGAAAGCAAAACAAAATCTTTCGGTACGAACTTTTTCATATGAAATGATGTACGGCCCTCCAGGTATTAAGTGGTTGGTTGCCAACATCACAATGATCGATCCGCATTGATGAATACGTATAATGGCTGTTGAAAACCACTGGCGAAATGTGTGCACGAACCCTCTTCTCATTTCTATTGAGTCATTTTACAGGAGTGTCTCTGTCATCTAAAGTTATTGCACCAAAAGCACACAGGCTAACCAACTACTCTTTTGCTGGAGGGCCGTACGTCGCGGCACTTTAATTGCACCAAGTCCTCAAGGAATGCGTGTTTTCATGCTTGGTCTATTTTATACAGATTTTTTGGGGGGAGGAGGAGGGGATGTTGCCCGAGCCGGGACATTTTGCTCCATTTACCTACTATGCAGTTAAATTATGACTCTATGTTATTCGCCTTCTTTACACGCAAGGCACTTATCGCAAACCCTCACTTTGATCGCCTGAGTCGCGAGTAATAACTTGGAATGGTGATAATGATAGCGATAGAATAGTGCGCAGTGGCGACAGTCCAGCAGACTGCGTGACCTAGTCAGCGTGCATGCAACATTTATCGGAGCGTCTTTGCATGTGGCCTGCTTCTATGTCATTGAAGCGGAGGAGGGGGGGGGGGGGGCTGGCGGTGCTGTGGTCCGATCGTAACACATCGAAGTAGGAGGTAAAATGCGTTTTCACATCTGCACTAAAGCCTACTGAGCCACGTAACGACGTAACAACAAGCAGGTAGTGTCATTCGAGAGATTGCCAGGAACCACGTGGAATGCTTAACCCTCGCACTTACAGGGGGTCGGATGGTCCCTCTCGGCTTTTCACGAATAATTGCATAAAAATCGGCCGATCGCGACAAAACTTTCAGCGCCCTTGAGCTAATCAATTTTACGCTTACCCTGAAAAGAAATTTCCCTTGCCCGAAATGACATTTGACCAGTTGTCTTTTCCTCAAGACCATATACCCCCCCCCCCCTCCAAAAAAAGAAAGAATGATAAACAAGAGTGCCATGGCAACACCGCCATTACGGAATAATAATAATAAAGAACCAATCACGCCATTGAATCGGCTCTGCCGCAAAGTATCGCTCATTTTTTCTTTAGGTACCGATCAGCCTGGCAAAAAAAAACATCCAGCCAGCCCAGTGTCCTTGCGAGCCAATAGGTAAGTATGGATTCAGCGCCTCATCTGCAAGCGGTCCTGCTAGCTGGATAATCATCGAAGGCCTGGGCTTTGACTGGGGCGTGTCTCGCTTTGGCTGAAGCAGACCACTTCATCCAGCCCCATCCGCGGCTCTTTGAGTCTGTTCAGCGCCTGCGACGTCCTGCTGCCAACGCGTGGACCAGCCAATCACCGACGTCCACCAGACTGGAGAGCGAGTAGCCGAGCAGGAGGCCGGTGGTGCCGCCCAGGTCGGTCAGCAGGTCCACCAGCTGATAGGTCCGCCTCTCCTCCAGCACGCGCTTCCGGTACGGAAAACGCAGCTGCAGGTTTATCACGTTACCTGCCGAAAGGAAACGGATGAGAAATTGACAGCATTGCTGCAGTGTTGTATAGACTTGGTATAGACCTCTGTGCAATATTTCTGACTTCCGAAGGTCTTCGGCGTCGGGGGAGAATTTCAAGTTTTCCGGGCACTGGCTGATGATGAGAGACAAACCGCAAGACATTCGACGCGCACTTTTTGTGCCCGTGTCCAGGGGTCGTCCGTGACAACATTCATGCACGTTGGGCAGGTCACCAGCGTACACATAGGTACGTACAGGAGTTTGCCTTTCCTACGAAGCAGACAAACATCAGACATTTGTGACCATTAGCCTGTGACGCCGTTGGTGGTGTCTGGCAGCCTGTTGGCAGTCAGTTGCCATTGGCGACTTCGCATCACCCTTTCACATAATCGTTTTTTTATCATGCTTTCATCCCTTAACAACTTGGTCCCGAGACGGCAGCCTACAGTGCATAGGTCGTCGTGTTTGCCCTTTTTTGCCAAATCGAAGCTATGGTACACGCTGTGAAGGGTTGGCTAGCAGGAGGCTGGGTACCTAGTGGGTACCCATGGTGTCTGCCGTTAATCCGAATCGAGGCATTCGATTCGATTCATAGGACACGCTACATGTGGCGGAGGAGAGTATGGCTAATAACTGTGTGAGAAAGGCCGCACCGCGTAACAACGATCCTGCGGTGTTCACGTATCCCCCTCAGTAACTCGTCAACAGCCCCACCAGTGCAGTGTCTCACCGATGGCGCCGACCATGGCCTGGTGGCTGGAGAGGGTCGTCTCGTGCACGACGCAGTTCCGCGGGCAGCTGCACTCGGGGTCCACGCTCTCCCAGAGCTCCAGCAGGCGGTAGTACTCGGACTGGCGCCTACAGGACGGCACGTCGTCCCCCGGGGGAGAGCCCCACTGCACGCTGCAGTTGGCCGCCAGGAACGCGGCGCGCGAGCGGCAGTCCTGCAGACACTGCGGGCAAGGCAGGGATATCTCAGTCGTAGCCGTGACACCTACTGGAGGCTTATCAACCAAGAAGTGCATGTGAACTGGTCGTTACTGAGAGTTTCCTACAGACACTGAGGAACATAAGAATGGAGACTGGGAACAAGTGAATTGTGAACCTGTAATTGGACGGAAAGACGTTTTCATCATTCTCCTTTTTATTTTAATTCTCCTTACCTGATTCTGGTCGTAGCCTGGGTCGGTGCGACAGGGACTCTGGTGCCGGTCCACCAGGACTGTCTCGGAGAGCGCCAGCACCAACTCCACGTTGTCAGAGGCCTCCGAGACCATGAAGTAAGTGCTGACCATGCCTCCGCCGTAGTAGGTCTTGGCCCGGGTGCCGGGTCCGTGCACGAACACCCGGTAGAAGCCGTCGGAGCCGCTGGTGTCGCCGTGCAGGCGCAGAGAGACCCTGATCTCACTGTTGCCGGCCGGGTCGAGACGCGTTTCCAGTGTGTAACAGGTGACCCCGGGAGGGTACCGGGAGCGCCGCCAGCGGCCCCACAAGAACTCTCCGCTGGCGCCGCTCGGCCGGCAGCTGCGGCCATCTCGAGTGGTGCAGCCATCCAGCATACTGGAGAGCTCCAGAGCGCTGGCGTCCAGCACGGCGTCCGTGGTGACGTTGCCGTCCCTCCAGTCGTTGAAGTTCTCCGTAAGCACGCTCCAGTTCAGGTTGACGGGACAAACGGTGAAGAAGGGCAGCGACGACGGCTCTTCGCGTATGGATGTCGCCACCGGCTCCTGCAGGAAGTCGCGCACTTTGATGCCGAACATGCAGACCAGCAGGATGGCGCAGAGCAGGCGCAGCAGCAGTGCGACCAGGCGCCAGGTGCGTGGCGCCGCCGGCGGGTCGGTCGCCCAGCACTCGCTCGGAGCCACCGTCATCGTGGCGCTGGCGCGGCGGCAGTGACGCACACACCGATACACGCAGCTGTTTGCTAGATGGAGGCGTCGACACCGACTACGCCGTCGCTGAGCAACGCGGTACTACAGTAGGTACTCGTATCATGTGACAATGGTTTGCAAGTGTTGACTTACTTCCTAGTTCCTACCATACCGCCTTGCCTCGTACAATGAAAGTCGGGACTGCTAATAAACAATTGCGCATTATTTATACACCACTGACCACACAACACCACATATTCATAATACCACGACATATTCCACATTATTCCAATAGTTTACTCCTTAATCCCTAGTGACCATGAAGCGTTTCATCGAGACAAACTGCCAATGCACGACCCCTTTGATGCACCTACAGGGTGTTTCACTAAAAGTGTCAAAAAGTAAATGCCTATTAAAGATATATAGAATATGCATATCACGTGGCTGCGCACGTGGTTTTGTTGCAAATTTTTGGACATTTATTATTTATCCATTTAAGATCTATTTTACACTCATATACGGAGCGAGGGCAGGAGGCCAAAGTTACTAGTCATTTTTTCCTTATGCAGAACAAGAACAGGTTATTTACACCGCAACAGGAGGGATGAATTACACTTATGTACATTTGGTGCCATCAGAAACATTGAAACCGTATGCCGACTTTTCAGGAAACTTTTTACTCTCTCACCTCGCTACGTTCCAGATTATAAAAGTTTCAAAGGGCTTGTTGAGAGGTTTAAAAGGGTTTCTTCGATGCCGGTTCCAGTCCAAAAAAGGCGGGGTTGCCCCCACCTCTCGGCGGAAACCGTTGAGAAGGTCAGGGTCTTTTTGAGGGCCTTTGAGGATAACAAGAAGCTAATTCCAACATCAGAAATAGCCAGGGCCTTACAAGTTATTAAAATCAGCCACTGTAACGGCTATAGCCACCAGGAACTGACTGGACCAGAAGCTCCTGGGCCGAATAATCAGCTGCCTCGCCGCCCGCCCCTGGCCAGCGCGAAGCCCCGATCTGTCACCGCTAAGCCTCTGGTTTGGTCAGTGACTCAGTAGCTCTCGCAGAGCTAAGGAAGACTCAAGTCGCATCACTTCAGGAGCTGAAGAGCACAATTCAAGGCTTTGCCGACAGTCTGGAGCTGGACGCTGAAGATGAAAACGGGCTGTGAGGCACCTCCGGACACGTGCCGAAACGGTGCATCAAAAGAAGGGGCAGATGTGTGGAATAGGTTTGAGTGACGGTGATATCGTTTTATATATTCAAATGTCCAACAATTGCGGATGAAATGATATGCAAATTTCCTTAGAAAACATTGTTATTATGTGCATTATGACCTTTTACTTTTTGACACTTTAAGTGAAACACCCTGTACACATGTAGTTGAGCTGTTTAGACGATCGGTCGGTGATCAGCGATTCGAATTGTTCTGGAGACGGCTCTGATGTAACATGCCGTAAAAATGCATCGATGAAAGAGAAGGAATGACTTTCAATGGATCTGGTGGATGAATGTCTCTATTGTTCATTATTGAGGAAGACGCAGAACATAGAGAAGAACAAATTTAGCTTAAGTTGATATTACAATTTACATTGAGGCCTATGGACCTATAGCAGCTTGGCCATTTTCTCATGTTTATGTCCATGCCTATGCCTACATATTTATATATGCACTTATATTTTCATGTATTCTTTGCATTATATAAGGTAGCCTTTTAACATTATATTAAAATGAAAACGGCCGATTTCTTCTCGTCTTATAATCGACTGTAGATCGGGTGTCCTCCAAGGCTGGCGGCTGGGGCCGTTATACTCTCCGTCATGGTCGGTCACTCCGTGTCAACCGCCAACGGTGCTAGACCGCCACTTAATCGAACGTTGCTCAAGTCCTACTCCTCCCGTCAAAACACAATCGCGAATATCAAGCCGTCATTGGGCAAGTTCACCACCCGGAACAGCCCTCCGTGACGTCACCAATGGTGCTAATCACCGCGGACTGGCTGTGCCGTCTCCGCTGAGCAGTGCGCCGGGGCGGATCACTTTTACCCTCTGCGTAGCGAAGCGTGACCGCGGCCGTGGACAGGCCAGCTGGGGAGGCGGTCAGGGGTCAGACTGACGCTCAAACAGGGTGTGCACGTGCACTCAGTGGTGCGTAACCTACTGGTGCAACACTGGGGAACCCAGGGCGTGTCACGTGACCGACATATCGGGCCGGTCGGGCGCATCACGTGACTCTCCGGCCTGGAGTGCACTGAGGCGTGCTGTGCTGGTGGGTCCTCCCCCTCTCACGGAGTGCAACCGCCGCCCTGTTGCAACGCGGAGACCGGAGTATATTGCTGGGTGTAGATTCCGCACTGGATAAATGGTTCCTGCAACCATAATCGATCAATCAATCGCATTTTGTAACGGATGGCAACTATTGCATGTCATCACTGCTGTGGAGCAGGCTGGCACTTCTGCTTCTTTGCCTCTTCCTTTCAGTTTCGATTTCCTCCGAGGTCGGCACTGATCCAGGACACAAACTACGCTCAACGCGGAACGGAGCTAAGTAGATGGCCCATGCCCCTGACCCGAACCATGCCCAGGTGCCGTAAAACACAATGCTGCCGGGCACGACAGCTTGTCTCGCATCTCATGCCTCTGGACATCGCGCGGGACATCGCGAGGGACATACTTCAAATTTTACGGAAGACTTATAACTTCAATGAGGCATCGCTATTTGGGACAATGACGATTATTAAAGAGACGGTACGATCAAACAAAGTTGATTGCGGTCCCGCAGACAGATCAAGGCTCATTACGGACATGTGGGTCGTCATCATACGGACATACGGACAAGTTAAAACGTCATCCGACATCCCCTGCTGTTTTGTGTCGGGATAGTGGGCGGAATGTGACCTCCCGACCTGACCACCGACTGTACAATTCACCGTCCACACGACATGACGCCATTGTGTCGTGAAAGTGGTGGCACCATTGCGCCGATTTACGAGCTTCTCGGCCGGGTCGTAACGTCCGATCGCCGGCGCAGACGTTGGCCGGCTTCTGTAGTGTTTGGTGCAGTGAATCGAGACACCGCTGACACACAACTTCCGTGACGCTCATTCCGGTAGCATTGTTCTTGTAATCAATGTTGGGTGTAGGCACAGTCCCGAGAATGGAGAAGCATTACACGGGCACTTTTTTAATGCAATGACACCTAGATCACATAAGCTGCCTTCTAAAAACATGGCGAACACGTAGTTTTTTTGCATCCAAAATTAAAAAGCGGTATTGTGTACTCAAGCGACGTGTGCCGTAGACTGCAGGGCATACGTTATCATAAAACTCATCATACTGCAGGGCATACCTCATCATCATTTACTAAGGTGTTTGTCAGTTGTCAGCTAGTGCAATGATCGGTCATAGGCATTGATCCATGGACAGTAATGAGTGGATCGTTCTACGGCCGAGTCATTACCTTTTGTATGGCCTTTTATAGAAGCAGACGGGACTCCAATCAGCCGGGCATGAGAGCTTCAGTGCTCCAAGACCTACATTTATGGCAGGGGCTATAAGTTTATTGCTTATTATTTCATCAGAGTTAGATCGAACCGAGTCCGCCATTCGCTACATGTCACTACCACGGTGTGCGTTCAGTGTGGGTAAATCATGGGTTAATCATAATGGCCTCATCCTGAGCTAGCTTTGACTTTCACTATTATATTAATGGCTATTTGTCCCATTATAATGGGGCAAATAGTCGTGTTCGGTTACTTTCCCTTGGTGGATGGTTGGGTGTAGTGCCGGACAGTCAGGACTCAGAAAGACCTGCCGAATCGAATGATATGCAATATGAACTCTTTCGACCAGCTTCGTGACCTTGGGGACTCTCACCTGACCTTGACCCGAGGTCAACACCTCAACCTGACCTCACCCGGATAAAAAATATACCGTTCGACGCGCCTGAGCGAGGCAAACACGATGATGCCCAAATCGCGGCGCTGCGACCGTGTTTTCCGCGACTCTCTAGCTACATCAGGGGCGAAACGGCGAGGGGGGTCGTACCCCCACCGCCCTCTCGGCCGGCGCTTATGTAAAAAACCAATAGGTCCGGCAAGGGATAATTTAAAGTCATTGCTTAAAAAGGTTTGGGAAACCCACTCTATTTTGACGGCATACTCCTTCTGTCATTTGTGGGCCAAACTGTTGAGCTGAGGTCCAATTTGAGCACATGCTAGTGAAAGACTTGAAGGAGCTACCCGACCGAATGCGTCTTTTCGTGAACCTGTAATCTGTATCTCTCTTGGTTTACGAGTTATTTGCGAAAACTATCAAATTGGGGAATTATGGACGAGGAAGTTTTACATTTGTAGGTATGTGACTTCGTATTCTTCGTATTAAAGGGACTATCCCACCTTTAACATGGGGTTTGAGTTGAGATAGCCAAGTTTGCGGCGAGGTTCAGAAACCACTATCTATCTAGGTTGCAACCCCCGCGGCCTCTTGGTGTTGAAGAAATTCGTTCCCTTCATTTGAAAATGGGCCTTGTGCAAGGCCCTATCTTCAACATGGAGCGACCGTTAGTGTGCTGTGTGACGTCACCTCGTTTAGCCATTCTGATTTAAATGGGTTTGTTCGTTGAAAAATCGCTTAAAACTTGGTCTGAACTTTGTTGTGGTGCCTACAGAGTAAAAAGAATCAGCTTTATGACAGTAATGTGGCCTGGGGAAGGAGGTAATTTTGGGCTGTGACGTCACATATTTGAAAGTTTGTGTTTGGAATATGGGAAGCCTAAGATGTTTAATGAAAAATAAATGCCAGAACCGTGTTCCTGGTCATCCAATCTATAAAGTCGGGCACAATTTAACTGGTTTTAACAACATTTTAGAAGGTGGGATAGTCCCTTTAACTTCGTATTCGTACAAGATTCTTACAGATACAGTTCTTTATTTCGAATTTTCGTAGTTTCGTTTTAGAATCGTTTCTCTCACAAATATCATGAACATTAAGTGTATTTTAACGTTTTTATTGTTTTGATTTGATTAGGTACATCCTGTGACCTGAACGTCGACCTAAGCCAGTTGTTTTTTAACCGCTGAAAGATTTTCTAAGTCCTTTTCACGACAGAACATTGGGCACCTATATTTGTATTTGATCCGTTGGATCCGTTTTGCACCTAATAAATTTATTGCCTACATCGTTGTTCACTAATCTGGTCTCCATATTTGGAATGAAATGTCGATTGATTTGCTTTTTTGTTTTCAAATGCAAATAGGTGCCCAATGTTCCGTCGTGAAAAGCGACATGTCATGGGGGAGGAGACGGACAGACGGTGCACTGTCGGATGCAGGGGGGGGGGGGATGGACCGTCACGTGACCACGGAGGAGTCATCCCGGCTGGCAGCTCGGTCCACGGCTAAGGTCACGTGACCCAGTCAGGGTCGTCGCGGGGTTCCATGCCAGTGCTCCCCGTTGCTCAACAGACGGCGGCTCGGCGGCATATATAGCGCGGAAGACGCCGGTCGTCACAGTGAAGTGAGTGTCCGCAGCACAGGTGGAGTCGTTCCCGCGGTCAACGTTTACAAGGAGCTAAAACTATGGTTCGGACGGTTCAGGTGAGGTACCTCGATGGTGATGCCACATTCACTACGTTTTGGGCTGCACCGTCTAATTTTATCTGTTCTGGCTGGGAAGCGGTAACCGCCACACTTGGAGGATGGGAAAGTGTTTTGCGTTTCCCCAATTTCACTTTTCTATTTTTTTCAATAACAATAGGTATTTGCTTGATCTTCTTTCAAAATATCGCTTCTCTTTCATTGGTAATTAGCTACTTCAACTATCGCAACTTCGCTTCAGTGAATAAATAGGTACGCCAGCATTCGTTTTGCCATTAAATCAATAGCTCGTAAGTCATATCACTCATTCATCGTCAGAAACCCACAGACATACTTTGCCGTTAATCTCCATTGTATTTATACGTTTCTGCTGTAATTTTATGAAAATTACATCACGATCATCAGTGATATTATATCGATATACCTACCGCACGCCGCAGTGGTCTGGAGTGGCGACTGGACAAATACGGGCAGCAGAAATGGTCGCTATCATGTCGCTATCTACCATCACTATCATGTTCATTTTTTCATGCAGGTGGTCAACATTCACTGCATCATCGCAATTCGTTCTGCTCCAAGTTGTAAAAAGTCCCGACATAGCACCGTCTTCCCTCCACATTGCAGACGCTGCTGGCCGCCGCGCTACTCTCGGCGTGCTCCTCCACTCCGGTCGTCCTGGCGCCGTACCCTCCTCGGTACGACGCGCCGTACCCGCCGCAGTACGACGTACACTCGCCGTACGCATTCGAGTACGCCGTACGGGACCGGTACACGGGCGCGGCGTTCTCGCAGGCGGAGCAGAGCAGCGGCGCGGCTGTGCGCGGGTCGTACTCAGTGGCACTGCCCGACGGGCGCATCCAGCACGTGACCTACGTGGCCGACCACAGCGGCGACGGCGGATACAACGCGCACGTCACTTACGAGGGCGCCGCCCACCACCCGGCACCCCTGTACGGCTACCGGGCGCCCTACCAGCCCCAGCCGGCGCCCTACCAGCCTCAGCCGGCTCCCTACCAGCCCGAGCCAGAAATCTACCAGCCTGAGCCGGAGGTCTACCAGCCTGAGCCGGAGGTCTACCAGCCTGAGCCGGAGGTCTACCAGACTGAGCCGGAGGTCTACCAGACTGAGCCGGAGGTCTACCAGACTGAGCCGGAGGTCTACCAGCCTGAGCCGGAGGTCTACCAGGCCGAGCCGGACTCCTACCAGCTTCCACTGGAACCTCACAAGCCCTAGTCAGATATGTGTCCAGTCTCCCTCAAGCACTTGTTAGAAAAGGCAGCTGACATCAATATGCCGGGTGATCGGGCCTTTTTCGGTAACGTTACAAAAAAGCAGGCTACTACCGATTCGAGATAATCATGATAAAAAAATAGATACCGAGAGACTGTATTTTGCAGTGCTGTGAACAAATGTTCCAGTGCTCCTACTTCAATATCCCTTATGCGGAACAGTGTTACATAGGTTTGATGTAAATAAGCAAAAAGCCCGGTACAGTTCTCTAAGTTTTTGTTTTATTAACTGCAGTAAGGGATAAATTTAAGACAAATATTGTTCAATTCAGTAAGAATTATTTGGAATTAGGAGAAATAATTTGACTATAAAAAGTCGGTATCTGGTGAATCTGCTCAAATAGTTCTTATGATGACTAATGAGTTCAAATGATGTCCTTTAGCTGCTTGGGCGCCACTGTTGAATTGGGTGTATTTATTGTGCTTTGTTATTCGATTACAGCTGTGTTTATGTTACAATAAATGCACAACCTGAGAAATTCGTGAGCTTATTATTTACGGCAATCTGCCACTCCAGTGTTTTTAGTGATTGACAACGCATGGCGCCACTGTCTTCCACACAAATGACTTTGTGCATAAGTTGTAAAGGTCGGGTCGACAGTGCACGTCCAGTGATATCACCCCAAGAACAAGTACCTAAATGATCGCCAAGGCTTCACCTATTCAACGATTGCTTTAAAACCTTTAAACATAATGATACAAGGGTGCACATCTCAATGTAATTACGGAGCGAGCGAAGCGAGCGTAGTCTTTCCTTAGATTAACAGAAATTTCTGAACGTTCATTGTGACAATTATGACTAGATAAGTGAAACTTTTTTAAATATAAAGGTACTGTATTATAGAAAGCCTTCGCAAACGCGTTTCGATTATATCATCTTCAGTGCTAGCTTCCCATAATACAAAAAGAAAATGGTACAAAAGTTCACAACACATCGCAAATACACACGCTGCAATTTTTTAATTCGTCGGCATTATGAGTCGGCATTAATTCAAAGTGTGCCATGTACGAACCATAAGGGGGGCTTTTACACCTTAGGAGGGGCGATTTGCGGTCTTGCATTCCAGAAGTATATAAAAACATTCTACCCGTGATATTGTGAGAAAAAATTGCAGCGTGTGTATTTGCGATGTGTTGTGAACTTTTGTACCATTTTCTTTTTGTATTATGGGAAGCTAGCACTGAAGATGATATAATCGAAACGCGTTTGCGAAGGCTTTCTATAATACAGTACCTTTATATTTAAAAAAGTTTCACTTATCTAGTCAAGAAATTTCTGAGTATGAGCGGCCGGCCGGCCGTGCGGACGCTTTTGCGAGGCTTATATCTCAGCAACCACTTGACCGATTTACACGCGGTAATTTTTGTACGGTAGCTTCATTCCTTCTACCAAGTATTGGACTATTCCCGATGCATGTGGGTGACCCCTTATGCACGTGCCACGTGCAAAACGAAGAGGTGTCAGTTTTGTAATTGTTGCAATATCTTGGTAACTACTTGGCCGATTGCGCTGAAAGTTGGCATGTAGGTAGGCACCTACTAGGCACTGCATATCCATGTGCCAGAGTTGGGGTGCTGCTGCACGTGCGCACGTGCAGGGGTCGTTTCCAGATCTCGAGAACGGCTGGACCGATGGCGCTCAAATTTGGTACACGGTTAGGGACCAGTTAGTAGGGTGCCGTGCACAAGTCAGTTGGGACCCATGTTGCACGTGCGCACGTGCAGGGTGCCGCTCCCAGATCTCGAGAACGGCTGGGCCGATTGTGCTCAAATTTGGCACATCGCTAGAAACCGGTCAGTAGGGTGCCGTGCCAAAGTCAGTTGGAGGTACCCCCTCGAAATTTCGCACGTGCAAGACTCACCCCCTCGCTCGCTCCGTTAGTCGCCCCAAAAGGCGCTATACTGGTAGTTACGGAGCGAGCGAAGCGAGCGTAGTCTTTCCTTAGATTAACGGAAATTTCTGAGTATGAGCGGCCGGCCGGCCGGCCGGCCGTGCGGACGCTTTTGCGAGGCTTATATCTCAGCAACCACTTGACCGATTTACACGCGGTAATTTTTGTAGGGTAGCTTCATTCCTTCTACCAAGTACATATTGGACTATTCCCGATGCATGTGTGATGTGGGTGACCCCTTATGCACGTGCCACGTGCAAAATGAAGAGGTATCAGTTTTGTAATTGTTGCAATATCTCGGTAACTACATGGCCGATTGCGCTGAAAGTTGGCATGTAGGTAGGCACCCACTAGGCACTGAATATCCATGTGCCAGAGTTGGGGTGCTGCTGCACGTGCGCACGTGCAGGGGGCGTTTCCAGATCTTGAGAACGGCTGGACCGATGGCGCTCAAATTTGGTACACGGTTAGGGACCAGTTAGTAGGGTGCCGTGCACAAGTCAGTTGGGACCCATTTTGCACGTGCGCACGTGCAGGGTGCCGCTTCCAGATCTCAAGAACGGCTGGGCCGATTGTGCTCAAATTTGGCACATCGCTAGAGACCGGTTAGTAAGGTGCCGTGCACAAGTCAGTTGGAGGTACCCCCTCGAAATTTCGCATGTGCAAGGCCCACCCTCTCGCTCGCTCCGTTAGTCGCCCCAAAAGGCGTTATACTGGATACCTTAACCCTCGCCGGACCTATTGGTTTTCTACATACGCGCCGGCCGAGGGGGGGGGGCGGGTACGACCCCCCCTCGCCGTTTCGCCCCTGGTGGAGCTAGCGCGTCGCGGAAAAAACGAGCGTGTGTACCATTACGAGACGCAGAGATTGGTACCCGATTTTAAGGTCCTAGGTCAACCGGTGACCTCTGACGTCAGGTCAAGTGCCCCAAGGCACGGTTCAGTTTTTTGGTGAATAACTTAGCAAAAAGCGGCCGCAGAGCCGAGATTTTGTCAGCTTCGTGTTCGTCTCGTCTGGGTCAGGTCAACTTAGGGTGTTGACCGCAGGTCACGGTCAGGTCAGCGCCCCCAGGTCACGAAGTTGGTCGAAGTAGGTCATGTCGCATGTCATTCGATTCGGCAGGTCTTCCTGAGACCATTGGTAGCTTTCCCGACTCGCTAGCTCAATTAGATGGGGAGTTATTGACGAAAACTAATATGACCTCGATGACGTCATAAGTGACGTCACGCAAGGTCAAAATTGCAAAAGTGACGCATCTACCCTTGCTAGGAGTGCATCAAATCACGATTCTGTGTGCAGTGTGCTTGAGAGAGTTGGAGATCGTTCCCGGCGCCAGAATAGCAGTTTTTATTTTTCCCCATGGTCCCTAATGGTGAAGTCACGAAAATGACCTGACCTCATATGACCTTTAGGAAAAATCCGAGATATAGGTACAAGTTGTGAGACTCGTAATGGGTACTAGATCCTGCAAGTTTCATTTCCCTGTGACAGCTCCTCTGGCAGTGAGGGCGTTGCGTTAACCCTCGCCGGACCTATTGGTTTTTTGCATACGCGCCGGCCGAGGCGGGGGGGGGGGGGGGTACGACCCCCCTCGCCGTTTCGCCCCTGGTGGAGCTAACGCGTCGCGGAAAAAACGAGCGTGTGCGCCGTTACGAGACGCAGAGATTGGTATCCGATTTTAACCCTATTAGTGGCAGGCTCCTGGCTACCCCATATTAGTGGCAGGGGGGGGGGGGCTGTTTACGACCCCCCCCTTCATATCTCGAGATCTAACGGGCCGATTTTCAAAATTCAAACGGCATTCGATTTGGTTCAACGAGATCTACATTTCTAAAAGAAAATAAAATTAAAAAATGTCAATAGGGGGTAGAGGGGGTAAAAAAGGGCAAATTGCAGATACATTTTAGACTGTTTATCACGGTCAGGTTTCTGAACCAATCTTAACGCAACTTTTGCCGATCGATAGAGAATGAACCAGGAATTCACATGGATCCTAAAAATATGCATTTTCAAAAATCATAGGCGGATACAGATCATTGAGATTGGGGGTACACAAAAAGTATAGTAAATAAGGTTTTTGTTGGTACTGTTTCTTAAAAGGGTGGCAATGGTCTTGTTATGTTACAATTTTCTTATGAGAGAACGACTAAAATTGTATTGGTCATGCATAGGCGGTGTCAGGGCACCTATGTTGGGAGGTAAAAAATAACCCCCCTTTTTGGACGCCTAGATCCGCCTATTATAGCAAAAACGTGTCAAAAGAGGATGCACAATAACTTTGTATATGTTATCACATGATACCTTTCATTCGCTGTTCGTAAAACTGGTGCAGCATCGTGATCTTCGCCCAAATGACTCGCTTCACGAATAGGACCCCCCAATTCCCAGTGCACTGGAGCGGCTCCAGTAAAGTTATGAACTTGAAAGTTATGAACTTGAAATTTTGAAACTTGAAAAAAAATAACTGAACCCTGGTAAAGTTATGAACTTGAAATTTTCAGGGAATGTGCCCAATTTAGTTTTAGGAAAAGTCAGAAAATTTCAGCATCGTAGCTTCAGCGGTTTCGGAGATATTCCCGAAAAACCTGAGGGGTGGATAAAAACAACCCCCCCCCCTGCCACTAATAGGGTTAAAGGTAGACTGCCACCTTTTTTCCACAAAACGGTTTTCACTAGAGCTGAGCCACCTATGTCCCAGACTGAAGTCGGTTTTCCGAAATTCGAACCCGTTTGCGAGAAATCGGAGACCAAAGTTCAGTTTGATGCAATTTTTTTAGTCCAAGAAAACCGACATCTCTACTGTTTATCGATAACTTTGAAACATGAATTTTCTTATCTTTTGGTAAATATATGTCAAAACTTTGATTGTTTCGAGATCAGAGAAGAATTTTGGAGTGTCAAAATAAAAGTTAAACTTATATATTCAGTAGTTCATTTTTTCCAAAAAAAAAGTGTGGGAAATGGGGTTTAACATGGGCCAGACCCATTCCAAATGAGCCATGATTTTTAAATGTTTTACGAACTTAAATGCAAAATAAATTAAGCATGGCCAATTTCTTATGAAATCATAGGGGAAGTTGGGGCAATGCCGGAGTTGGGGCAAAGCCGAAATTCGAGATATTTCTAAAACTGTACGACATAGATGCCACGTCTCAGTGATGCTCTGAAGCTTAAGTGACTACAATTATCGCATCTTTGTTACGAGTCGTCATTTGGAATAGGTTCGGCTGTGAGGGCGCCAAAAGCGTTTTCAAGGTACGTTTCCCTTGTACTACATGCGCCTTTGAAGCTGCATTTCTTACTCATTATGCTACCGTTTGTCTGGCCAATTCGGTCAAGTAATCTTCAGCATGTCTTTGCATAAGTGTGCTGCCTATTTGAAATTTATGCAGCACGTTTAAAAGTTATGGGCCTGCAAATGAAAGTATGGCTGACTGGGGTAATGCCGAAAACGTGCAATTACGCACGTTAAAGCACGCTACGTGGACTTTACTGCTGTAGAATAGCAACGCGTATTTTTAGTCAAACAAATTACACTTTCAGCCGGCACAACGGCCTGTTACCTATAAGGAATGATTTACCTGGC